AAAAAAAAAAAAAACTGTATCACCAAGCCCTCCCACATCAACTGAGACTCTTTCTTCTGTCCTTGACACTGCCTCCTTATAGCCAACTGGTTCTTCCCCTTCTGTGTACCTGTTAACATACTTTTGGATCAATTATTCGGATTGAATCATCTGACACACCCACTAGCCAGCTGCCTTCATCCTCTACATGGCCACCAGAGTCTGCTTTTATAAAACCTTAATCAGATCACACCTCTTCTCACTCACTAGCACAGCTATCATCAAAAAGACAGACAATAACAAGTGTTGATAAGGATGTAGAAAAACTGGATAATTCATGTACTGCTGATGGGAGTGTGAAATAGCATATTTGCTTCTGAAAATACGCTAGTAATTCCTTAGGAAGTCAAACACAGTTACCATGTGATTCAGCAATTCCACTCCTAAGTTCATACCCAAGAGGAATGAAAATGGATGTTCACACAAAAACTTGCACATGAACATTCATAGCAACATTATTCATAATAGCTAAAAAATACAAACAACCAAGATGTCCATCAACAAATATTGTCCAAAAACAAATGTTTCTGGATAAACAAAATGTGGTCTACCCATACAATGGAATATTATTCAAACACTAAAAGGGAATGAAGTACTGATACACACTATAACATTTACGAAAATCAAAAACATACAAGGGAAAGAAGCTGTATTATATGATTTCACTATATGAAATTTCCAGAATAGGCAACTCCACAGACGCAAAAAGCAGATTAGCAGTCACTGGTAAATAAAGGGAGAAATTGAGAGGCACATGATTTATTGTAGGGTGATAGAAATATTCTGGAATTAGTATTGAGTTGCACAACACTGTGAATAAAATAAAATCACTGAATTCTATACTTTATTTATATTGAGGTTTTGGGGGGTTTTTTGTTTGTTTGTTTTCTTTGAGACAGAGTCTCAGTCTGGTGCCCTAGGGTTGAGTACCATGGAGTCATCATAGCTCACAGCAACCTCAAAACTCTTGGGTTTAAGTGATCCTCTTGCCTCAGCCTCCCAAGTAGCCAGGACTACAGGAGCCCTCCACAACATTCAGCTAATTTTTTAATTTTTATTTTTAGTAGAGATTTGCTCAGGCAGGACTCAAACTCCTGAACTCAAGCAATTTGCCTACCCTCACCTCCCAGAGTGCTAGAACTACAGGAGTGAGCGACAATGCCTGGCCTATTTTTTTGGGGGGGGGGGGAAGACAAGAGTCTCACTTTGTCACCTCAGTAGAGTGCCACGGCATCAAAGATCACAGCAACCTCAAACTCTTGGGCTCAAGCAATTCTCTTGCCTCAGCCTCCCAAGTAACAGGGACTATAAGCACCAGCCACAATGCCTGGTTATTTTTAGAGGCGAGGTCTCACTCTGGCTCAGCCTGATCTCCAACCTGTGAGCTAAGGCCACCCACTTCAGCCCCCAGAGTTCCAGGATTACAGGAGTGAACCACCCTAGCCTATTTGTTTTTATTCTTTGAGACAAAATCTTACTCTGTTGCCCAAGCTAGAATGGTGTCAGCCTAGCTCACAGGAACCTCAAATGCCTTGGTTGAGGCAATCCTCCTCCCTCAGCCTCCCAAATAGCTGAGACTACAGTTGCTTGCCACCACCACACTTGACTAATTTTTCTTCTTTTAGTAGAAACAGCATCTTACTCAGGCTGGTCTCAAACTCCTGAGCTCAAGGGATCCTCATACCTCAGCCTCCCAGAGTTCTGGGATTATAGATGTGAGCCATGGTGTGGCTGAATTCTACACTTTAAAATGGTTAAAGGGCTCAGTGCCTATGGCTCAAGTGGCTAAGGTGCCAGCCACATACACCTAAGGTGGCGGGTTCGAATCCAGCCAGGGCCCGCCAAAACAACAATGACAGCTGCAACCAAAAAATAGCCGGGTGCTGTGATGGGCGCCTGTGGTTCCAGCTACTTGGGAGGCTGAGGCAGGAGACTCACTTGAGCCCAGGAGTTGGAGGTTGCTGTAAGCTGTGATACCACAGCACTCTACCCAGGGGGATAGCTTGAGGCTCTGTCTCAAAAAAAAAAAAAAAAAGAATTAAAATGGTTAAGGGTGAATTTTGTAGTATGTAAATTTTATTTCAATCTTAAAAAGCTTTAAACTCCCCTTTCCCAAGAAAATAATCAGATCACATAAGCACCCTGGTCAGCTCACTGTGATTTCTTATTCTGGTAGGAGTCAAACCCAAACTACAAGGCCCTGACAGCCGCACCCTATGCCTCCACCATCTCTCTTGCTGCTTTTGCCATCACTCAGTTCCTCCGCACACCAAGTTTACCCCACCTTCTGGCCTTTGCCCTTGCTGGTCCCTCAGCCTAGATTCTCACAGCTGATTCTTACTGTTCAGGTCTATGCCAAAATGTTCCTCTTCACCTCAGAGAGACCTTCCCTGACCACCCCATCTAAAATACAGCCCCTTCGGCAGCACCCATAGCTCAGTGGTTAGGGCGCCAGCCACATACACCAAGGCTGGTGGGTTTAAACCCCACCTGGGCCAGCTAAACAACAATGACAACAGCAACAAAAAAATAGCTGAGCTCTGTGGCAGGCGACTGTAGTCCCAACTACTTGGGAGGCTGAGGCATGAGAATAGCTTAAGCCCAAGAGTTTGAGGTTGCTGTGAGCTATGATACTACAGCACTCTACTGAGGGTGACATAGTGAGACTCTGTCTCAAAATAATAATAAAAAAATAAAATACAGCCCCCACATGTTCCATCCCATTAATCTGATTTCTTCATAGCCCTTATCACCATGGGAAAACATACATTTTAAAAATAGCTTACTTCTATATTGTCCATTGCTCCAACCAAGAGAACTGGGCTTGTGTCTTTCATGTTCACAGCTGTGAACATGCCCACCGTGTAGGCAAGAAACCTTTTTCTGGAAAGATGGATTTCCTGAACAACTGCCTGTAAGATCTGAAATGCCACCTGCTACCTGGCCAAGAGTCCAGAGCACTCGGTCATCAGCCACACTCTACAGGTGCTCAGAAAGTTCATGTGCATTTGCTGGGCACTCAGTGGCAAGTCCTGCCCCAGGCCTGTCTACAACCTTGAGGAAGAAGGAGGAATAATCCCTCCCCTTCAAAAGTCTGAAAGTCTTTCAGGGGTCACAGAGCACCCAGTGTTTACCCAGCAACCCACAAACAAAAAGCAAAGAAGAGATGTTAAGATTGCGCTGCTGACACCTAAGCTGGAGGTAGGGTCCAAATTGGCCTCATAAAACTGTGTCCTGGCAAACACCCTCTGATACAGCTTCTTATGACTTTGCAATCTGACCTGCTGTCCATAATGAAACGGTTGCAGCTTGCACCTGCTCCTGCCTTCTCTGATGGGGATTTTCTTTTCAGAAGCAGTTAAAAGTCTAAACAGGCAGGTGGTGAAGGCTTCTTTCCTCTTCCTTTCTCCTCCTTCCTACCTCAGCATCTCTAGACCACACACACACACACAGCAAGAAACTTACCCACTAGGAGTTTGACGTCTCGGACTGTGAAATCAGGGTCAGGCATCCTGAAAAAGGAGCACAGTCCTTTGGTGAGAAGTCAGAAATAACAGAACTAGCTGGGCACGGTGGCTCAAGCCTATAATACTAGCACACTGGGAGGCCAAGGCAAGTGGATTACTTGAGCTCACAGGTTCGAGACCAGCCTTAGCCAGAGCAACACCTCATCTCTAAAAAAATAGTGGGCACTGCGGCGGGCGCCTATAGTCCCAGCTACTTGGAAGGCTGAGGCAAGAGAATCTCATAAGCCCAAGTTTGACATTTCTGAGAGCTGTGATGCCACAGCACTCGACCAAGGGCAACAAAGTGAGACTGTCTCAAAAAAAAAAAAAAAAGGAAATGACAGAGCTAGATCTTACTCTGGGCCTAAGGGGAAGCTATTTTTCCAAGTGGGGTCCCTGGTTCTCAGTTTGGGAACTCCAAAAGAAATAGCCTAGAGAGAAAGCAGTAGACCAGTTAATTCCTCAAAGGAGGATCACTCCAGAACCACTGAGCCCTTTCCTCATCCCAACAAGGCACCCAATCCTGAACCTCAGCAGAGCACGGGACATCTACCAATCATCTCATTTTCTGGACAAACATGAAGTGTAGCGTCAAGGGTAAGGGCTAGAGCTGGGCATTCAAACATCTTTCTTTTTTTCAAAATAGCGTCTCACTGTATTGCCCTCAGTAGAATGCTGTGGCATCACAGCTCACAGAAACCTCAAACTCTTGGGCATAAGTGATTCTCTTGGCTCAGCCTCCTAGTAGCTGAAACTACAGGCTCCAGCTACAACGCCCAGCTGTTTTTTTTGTTGTTGTCATTGTTGTTTAGCAGGCGCTGGCTAGGTTTGAACCCACCAGCCTCGGTGCATGTGGTCGGCGCCCTAACCTCTGAGCTACGGGTGCTGAGCCTAAATACCTGCTTTCTTTTCGGTTGGAAAGCCCTCTCTATATCACTTTTTCCCTCTAGAAAATACTCTCCTTGGCTCAGCGCCTATAGCTCAACCGGCTAAGGCGCCAGCCACGTACACCTAAGGTGGCGGGTTCGAATCCCCTGCCCGGACCCGCCAAACAACAATGACGGCTGCAACCAAAAAATAGCCAGGC